GAACAAAAAACAAGTCAAGATAATTATCCCCCTTTTTTATCGCACGCACGCAAACACGGCGACAGAAATAAACTCCCAAAGTAGAAGATCGTGTTGTAATTAGTTATCGGCCCTTGTTACACCACGCGTATCCGGCTGGTAACGATGCGCAGGCGCAACAAAAAGCCTTGTTCTAATTGGCTGCGTTCTAAGACCACGTGACCCACAAACCCACGAGGGGTGTCATGTGCTATTCTGGACGCGATGACCGACTAAAACTGACCCTTTTCTGGCCACTTTGTGAGGGCACGTGTCCCTGTTTAGGGCTAGTTTTAATTGGTGAACTTTAGGTGGACACGTATATCTACCTGACAGATCTGATTATATATATATGGTAACACTACAGGTAGCCTATATTTAGAACAATCGAGTTATTGTACAGCGATAGTGGAGAGTTGCCCGAATATTTATATCTGTAAGGAGATACTGTAGGTATATACACCAGGTATAATAGTTGTATCCCGTAAATTAGAGGTACTCCATTATTTATATCTGTATGGAAATAGTCTATGTATATATTACTATAAATATAATAATTGTATTCAGTCTTTTGAGAGGTGCCCCATTATTTATATGTGTGGTATATATTACAAAAGTAAAGTAAAGTTTCCCTTTCAAACCTGACGGTCTATGGGGCAAGTGAAGTAGAGTTGATTTGAGTAAAGGCGGCTGGGCATAGTGCTGACAACACTATCTCTTCATATGCTGAGGTCACAGAAACAAGGTATATATTACACCAGTATAGTAATTGTAGCCCGTAAATTTGGAGGTGCCCCATTTTTTATACCTGTGTGGAAATATTTGTACGTTTATAATACACTAGACATGGTAATTGTAGCCCGTATATCCGGAGGCGCCCCATTATTTATATCTGTGGTATTTATTACACCAGGTATTGTAGTTGTATCCTGTAGGATGAAATGTGCTCCGTCATATATGTAGAAATACATATAATACACCAGTATAGTGACGGTGTCAAGTAAGTTGAGTGAGCACAGTGCTGTCAACACTATCTCTTCATATGCCGAGGTCGCAGATACAGGTGAACTCTACCTCACCTACACCATGAACCATCAGGTTCAGACGGGTGCTTTACATTTTAAATCATTTTGTGACTCGCTAAATTACAAACGTGTATGCCTAATCTGTTTATCAAAAATCCCGGTAACTTAACTTTTTGCTTTTAACCACCAAGTTAACCCGTGTCGTAATCAAACCCCGCGCGCCTCACGTGTTCAAAGTTTTACAAATCTGGCCATCGTCTGCTACTAGTTCGTTTCCCTGCCTCTTGAACCCCATAATGCAATGTTTTGAGAGCTGCAGCGCCGGCGCGAAGATCAGCCAATCAGATTCCATCTCCGTCTTCAACTCACGTGCTAATTATTATCATTTTAACACTCTTTTAATTAACGTGCTTTTTAAGTTAAAAAAAAAAATTCTTCACCTTTGAGCATATGTTATCTTTAGTTTTTATAAACAAAATGCTAGGTAATGTTATTTAACTTGGCTTTTTTTTTTTACCATTTAAAATTTTACCATTTTTTTTCCTCTTGCCTTTTTTAAAAACTTCCCTTCAGAGAAAATTATCTTCCTCCCTCACCACCCCCTCAACACCGGCTTTTATTTTCATCTTTTAAATTAGCCGTACGCCATCTTTTAAATGTTTAGTTTTTCTCTTCAGTTGGTATGAGCATTATAGGACAAGTCTTCAGAGGCGTCGACAGTAGAAAAGCAAAAGAAGCGCCCCTCCCGAAATACAGTTAAGTAAAACGGCGCCTTCGGTGTAAACGTTTTTAGCTACATTTAAAAAAACACCTCGACTGATTTATATGTTGAAGATATAGAAAAATAGATATAGAAGATATATAGATAGAGAAGATATAGAGAACTGGTCATCGTTATGAATGCCTACGCTACTGCATTGTCACGGAAACCTAACTACGCCCCTGGAGGGGTTGGGATAATTATACGTTGTTTTTTTTATTTGACAATAATTTAAATATAAATATTGTTATTTTTTTAATTTTACATTTATCTACATTTCATGTATAATTCAATTATTGTATCTACTTATTGTTATATAAAAATTGAGTACTTTTAATGGTGAATTTGAAGTAAAAAAACATATTTTACTTTCTTCCTAATGATGGAATAACTCTTTTTTTTTTTAAAAATCGACTTTTTAATTAACTTGTTTTTTTTAAAATCGGCTTTCTACAAGTTCAAAGGCCTAGATTAAAACATTTAAAAGCTGCGTGTTTGTTTAGTAATCTCAAACAGCGTAATGGTGTCCAAGAATAAAGATGTTTAAATTGTACCAAAAACTCAGAAATCTCTAACCATAAAGTTATATTTTCTCAACAAAGAAGCAATATTTTTATGCCAGTCAAACCCGTCAATATCAAATATACTCATTACCAAAGCCTGCTCCTATTCCAACACTCATAACTTTTGAAGTGGCGTTTTATTTTTCTTTCCCACTGCGCATGTGCGACCTACTTTTAGTCACGCGCTTTGGTTGAGTTCTAGTTTTGACTTGACTTACTTCAGAAATCATATTGAGAAAATAAATGTTCGTGTATTTGAACCGCGGGTTTGTTGCTGCGGCCTATACCCAAATACCTTCCCCTTTCATCTTTTAGTTTGTTAGGTTTAGGTAACTGTATTGGTAGGTGAAGCAACTCGGGGTCGTTTTACTCTGTTATTAATTTACTTTTTCTTTAGCTCCGAAACAAACAAGTTTTATGTGACATAATAGTATCAAAGGCGTCGAATCCTCAATTTTACCAACACAGATATATATATATATATATATATATATATATATATATATATATATATATATATATATATATATACATGAGTATAAATGCATGCTTAACGAACAAACAAAAAAAAAACGGGCTGTACCCTTGTATGCCACCCCCCACTACCACCCACTACCCCCCCCCACACACACACACCCATCAACGCCCCTGTATGTCCCTGTCACTCAGAAATCAACTTCTTCAGCAAAGCCGGAGTTAAAGCAATTATCTTTTCTGTATTTGTTTTTGTTTCCCGGTTTCCAACGGTAATCAACCACGAGTGTTAATTACTTTAATTAACTTGAATAGAGGTTGGCTGGGTGGTCTTTTATTCATTTTGAACCCTGAGCATTATTTACCCCCCCCCCCCCCGTACACACACACAACGTGTCACACTGAAGTGTATCCGATCTCTAGCTGTTCCCATGATCATCTCCCCTGAAGTTCTATTTGCACGGCTGAAATGCCCACACAAGTCTCGCTCACTGCACGTGCGAGGTACGTGAAGTGCTCACTAATTAAGTGACTCGATCTGGACTCGAACCCACTTCGACCCACTTAATGCATGCTCGTACTTACTTACGCTGCTTTCCACATGCTTGAAGTATGTAAAGTTTAGCCAAGTATAGATCTGCTTACAGCGAGAGTACGTCGTGTTCACGTCAATGGTGATCGTTCTGTTTGTATGGGGGGTGGGGGGGGGGGTAGATTTGTGGGTGGGGTGTATGAGGGTGAGGTAGATTTGTGAGGGTATTTGCTTGAAAGGGGGGGGGGGAATGTCGATGTGTGTAAAGTTATTGTGGGGTATTTGATGTTGGGGTATGTAGGGGGATCAATGTGGGGGTGGGGTTGACGGTAAGGGGTGTTTTATGTGTGTGTGTGGGGGGGGGGGGAGTGATGTCGTCGACGTGGGAGGAGTGTTTCATGTTGGGTTAGAGGATTGGTCGGAGTGGTCTAGCGGTAAAGAGCTGGACTGCCAACCCGTAAGTCTCGAGTTCAAATCCGGGTTCAAGTCAATAGAACGTCCCTGAGCCCACCCAGCTCTGATGGGTACCTAACTTACGTTAAGGAAAGTGAAGGTGGCTGGGCATAGTGCTGACCACACTATCTCTTCATATGTCGAGGTCACAGAAACAAGTGAACTCTACTTCACTTGCCCTATAGACCGTCATGTTTGAAAAGGGAACTTTTACTTTTTTTAGAGGATATATACTTTAATTTCTGGCTATAACTGAGCAGCTATCGTCACTAGTTATATAAACTCAACAATAACCATAACATTTATATTTTCCTGTTAGGCGACATTACGCTAATGAGCGTATTTAAAATGGGAGGTCACTTTGATAACGACAGAATTAAAAACAAGTAATTAAAAAAAGTCTAGTGACAATTTTAGCGCAATTTCCTTGTGTTATCTAAAAATAGCTCTGTCGTAGCGTAAATCAAGAGCAGGGCTAGTAAAACCATTGGTTAGTTATTAAAACGTTTTTTATTTAAAAAAAATTCAGTATTTTACATGTTTTATTTACAATAGAGTAACATGACTAAAAACCATTGCGCGCCTACTGAAAGTGATGGCGCAGCCATGGAACGCGATGGCGCAGCTATTGAACGTGATGACGCGTGTGGTGTGGTTGGAAAAAATGCCTACTAATTCGGTCCAAATTTTAATTAATTCAAAAAAAATTTTGTGACCGAACGAAAGGATATTTTTGAAAACTTTCTTCGGCAATATTGTTCTAAATTATGGCCGGAATCGATTGGTACATGTTTCAAGTCGCTAAGTGGTCTGGTTGCTGAGATATAGGCCAAAAACTGCATTTTTTCGAGGCTTTTTGGCTTTTCCGGGAAATCCATGAAAGAAACCCGGAATTTTTATGGCCTATGCTCATCCTCGTAACTTGCTTAACATAATCGCTTTTGGAACTAGTCATCGATATTGCTTCGTTGAGGAGGAGATACGACTTAAAGCTGCGGACACACATTCATTCATACATTCATCCATCCATCCATCCATTCATCCATCCAGAAATGACGGGTTAATAAACGCAATTCTCCAGAATGGAAATTGCGCTAAAAAATTGTTTTACTTTCGAATATTTGTTTTATTTTAATTAGAGTCTCGAATTTTAAAACAACACATAACCCAATGACGTACTACCACATCCTGTATACAAATGTTTACACATTCCCGCTTCTAAAAGCTCTAGCATGGAATAAATAACATTGCTGAGGCTGTGGACGCCATAGGTCATCTCAACCATCATCATGTCGTTCTTCGCCCTGTTAGATTACCTCCAGAACGGCTTACCCCCCGTGTGGGTGAGTTATCTCCCTGTTGTCTTCGTGTGGTTGGGGAGAGGGGGGGGTGCAGGCTGATTCAGAAGTCGGTCAGGTTAGTTTTGGCTGGGGAGGGACATCAATGAGTAAACGGAAATCAGTGTCTTTATTGTTGACACGGATTAACGTGTTTTTGTAAATTTTGCTTTCTTAGCCGTCGTAAAAATAAATAAGTAAAAACTTTAGTTTGAAAGGTGGAACTGTGTGGTTGAATTGTTGAGCGTTTGGCTGCTACACCGAAGGTCTCAAATTCGGATCTCTGGATTTGTGACTGTAGGAGTCCACCCAGCTCTGATGGGTACCTGACTGATGTTAGGGAAAGTACAGAAGGCTGGGCATAATGCTGACCACACCATCCATTCATAGGCCGACGTAAAGAAACATATGAACTCTATTCCATCTGCCCAATGAATCCCGAAGTCGAAAGAAGAATCTTTACTAAGCATTTAGTTCTAGGATTAGGATTAGGATTTATGGGATGTTTTTGTCCATTCCAACAGTTTAGCATGAAAATAGCCGAGGCATACAGTTCTGTGTTTCTTCCAGACTTTTTTCTCTGGAAGGAGGGGGGGGGGGGACCTGAAATGTCCGTGGGAGGGGGGTGGACTAAATTTTCCGGGGAGGGGGGGGGGGGGGCGGACACTGGTAAGGTATGTTTTCTATAAACATTTTATTTCGTTGGGGGGGGGGGAGTGGTAGATTTTCTGCGGGGGGGGGGGGGGGGGGGGGGGCTGAGCCCCACTGAAGTGATGCCTGGAAGAAACACAGCTACAGTTTTTACTTTCAATGTTTTCAAATTTTAAATGTTTTGTTCACCAGAAACCAGGGATCCTCTCCTACCACTGAAAGAAACACTGCTACAGTTTTTACTTTCAATTTCATCAAATTTTAAATGTTTTGTTCACCAGAAACCAGGGATCCTCTCCTACCAGGAGTTCTCCGAGGAGGTGGTCAGGGTCCACAACGACTGCAGGAGGCGACACAAGGCCTACGCCTTACGGTAATGGCGGCTTAATAAGTCAAGGTGGACACACAGTGTTCGGCCCCCCACCCCCCCCTCCCCCACCCATGAACCGAGGTTCGAAATCACCATTTCTATTTGCATAACATAGTGGGGAGACTTGTTCGTTTCGCAATCTTGAATGGAATAGTTCTTAGAAAACATGGCGCGTATTGGTACCACCCACACTCTCTCTCTCCCTCGCTCTCTCTCTCTCTCTCTCTCTCGCTCTCTCTTGCTCTCTTTCTTTTTATGTCTTCTAAGATTAGAACATACTAAAGGCTTAATCTACATTAAATTACATACTCCATCAGCGTCTTATACACTCAACTTTCCATCTTGGCCTTACCCCCCCCCCCCCCCCACTTACCCCCAAGTAAGCTCTTAACAGCGGCAGTGCCTGTCAAAAAGTATTCTATAGTGTTTTATGTGGACACAAAAGAATTGTTAACCTAGTTGGATTTAATTGAATTGTTCGCCCGATAAATGCATACTTTAAAAAAAAAAACTTCAAATTTATTTTTAAAGTTCTTAGCGCTATTTTCTTGAAATTACCTTCGTAAGTTCAAGAAAAAATTATTAATGGCCAACATAAATGGGTTAAATTTTATGCGCAAATCGCGTGCGCCTTGGTGTAAACTTAATGCGCACATCAAATCACGCGCTATTTCAGTTAATCTCGCAAGTACGTATGGTGCGAGTTATCGCTACCGTCGTGTGTCGGAAGGGGGGGGGACAATGAAACATGGCTTCCTCTTATACATTTACTGCTGTATGATTTATCACGTTACCATGGTAACGACAAAAAATGAGTGTTTATTGTTGACAATAACAAGGCGTTATGAATAGAGTCGTATGACGTCATAAGGTAATATCTCTAAAACTTAGGAGGGGAGTTTTAGAACCGACCAGTGTTTCTTCCAGACTTTTTTCTCCGGAGTAGGGGTGGACTTGATATTTTCGGGGGAGAGGGTAAACTGGTAAAAGTATATGTATTCTATATAAATCCAATATAGCTCGGGGGGGGGGGGGGGGGTGCGGTAGAGATGCCTGGAAGAAACTCTGGAACCGACTTGATTGGCTCAATTTAATTCTTGAAATTTTCTTCCTCTCTTGTTACTCATCATTTATAGCGCGTCTTCTATCTTAAGTCTACGTATAGAGATAAGTAAAAGATACGGCAGGTATTTATAGAGTGATATAAAGACTTTACATGGAACGTTGTAAACAATGGGCATTGGGTGGTTGGCAGGCGGCATCGCTTGTTTATAAGAGGGGTATGACAGGATGGCGGTTATAAGATATACGTTGTGTTATATGGGTGGCGTAGTAGGTAGTGAGGGTGAAGGGTGAAGAGGGGTATGACAGGATGATAGTTATAAGATATACGTTGTGTTATAAGGGTGACGTAGAGGGGTACGACAGGGTGATAGTTATAAAAGATACGTTGTGTAATATGGGTGGCGTAGTAGGTAGTGACGGCGATATGTGAAGAGGGGTATGACAGGATGATAGTTATAAGATATACGTTGTAATAAGGTGGCGTAGTAGGTAGTGACGACAAAGTGTGAAGATGGGTATGACAGGATGATAGTTATAAGATATACGTTGTTGTTATAAGGTGGCGAAGTAGGTAGTGACGGTGATGGGTGAATAGCGGTGGTCGAGCGGTTAACAAAATTAAAACTTTCAGACCAGGTCTTTGGTGCAGACGAAGTAGAGTTGATCTGTTTTTCTAGGGTAGTAAGGTGAGCAGTATTCCCTTCGGCATTTACTTTCCCACATATCAGGGTGGGCTCTAGGGCGTCATGCGAATTGTTTCTTTCAGGCTTTTTTTTCTCTTTTAAACTTTAGGGGGTGTACTAAATTTCCGAAAGGGGGAGGGGCGGACACGGGTAAAAGTATATAATTTATGAATTTTATTTCGTTCGGGGTTGGAGAGGAGGTATACGTGCTTTGGTTCCCCCCCCCCCCCTTCCATCCCCGAAGAGATGCCCGAAAGAAACACTGGTCTTGTGGATTTGAACTGATGGTTCGAACTATTTTTTTTTAGTTAGAAATCTACAGACTGGCAGAGATGGTGTAGAATTTTAAAATTAATTAACTGTGGTGCCTCGACAACCACAGTAAGGGTTAAGGGACCATGACGAATTTGTAAGTTTTAAAAAAAATATCGCAAACTATATCGACAGGAGCGAGAGTTTAATTTCCATGTTCTGTCTCTTGAATTTAAGTCAACTCTATGTGTTATTGTAGCCAATGTCAGTGGAGACAAAACAACTTATATTGAACTGTTACATCATATATACTTGACTTACTCCCCCTTCCCGTACCCGTACCCGTCCCACCTCCACCCCACCCGCTGACCTTGCAACAGCAATTTAAATAAAACACGTTTTCCAATGCATCTAGGTCGGTTCTATGTCCTTAAACAGTTTCTTAAATGAGGCTTCGTATCCAGAATATCACCGGCTATACATCAGCATATTGTAGTGCTATAGCTTGAGTTAGAAAAATGTACATTACATATTCAGTAACTACAACATATTGTAGTGATATGGCTTGAATTAGAAAAATGTAAACTATGTATCATGTAACTAAATCTTCAAGTTGTCCTGATTGTTTGGCCAGGAAAATGTCATTCTGTGTTGTTTTTTTTACCATTTTAATATCGGGGCTTTCTAATAACACATTTGAAAAATAGTTATTTTTTCTCTCACTGTTTTTACAAACACTACTCTTACCCTAACTCTAACACTGGAGTAACTAGTTCACCATCCTTCACTCCACCGTTGCACAACTTAATGCAGAGTCGTAGCGACCCCCCCCCCATACCACCCCCTAGCTACGCCTCTGACTTAATGACGTAAAGTTTGTTCCCTTGTCCAGATTGAACGAGGAGCTCTGCACGCTGACCCAAGGCTGGGCGGACAAACTGGCTACACTCCCCGAGTTGGCCCACAGTGGCAACAAGTACAAGGGGACCAGGATAGGCGAGAACATCGCCATGAAGTGGACATACAACAAGTCCATGTACAAACGTGAGTCGTGTACACACGTCAGTCGTGTACATGTACACAATTGAGTCATGTATATGTACAAACGTGAGTCGTGTACGTGTACAAACGTGAATCATTTACATGTACACAAGTGAGTTAAGTGTATAAATGTGAGTCTTGGATAAATGTGTGTAGTGTACATGTACGCAATTGAGTTATGTACATGTACAAACGTGAGTCGTGTACATGTACATAATTGAGTCATGTACATGTACACACGTGAGTCATGTACACACGTGAGTCATGTACACACGTGAGTTGGGTGTACAAGAGAGTTAGGTGTACAATCGTGAGTCTAGTAAAACGGGAATTATGTACATTTTCACACGTGAGTCGTATACGAATACAAACTTTAGTCGTGTACATGTACTCATGTGAAATGTTTATATGTACATACGTGAGTAGTGTACATCTAAAAACGTGAGTCGTGTACATGTACAGACGTGAAATGTGTACATTTGCAAAAGTGTGTTGTGTAGTGTACATACGCGAGTAGTGCGCATGTACACGCGTGAATCGTGTACGTCATATACGGTATGAATAGTGTACAGTGGTAATTGTGTACATGTACACACCTGAGTTGGATACATGTACAAAAGTGAGTTATGTACATGTATTAACGCGATTATTGTATATGTACACATACGAGTTGTGTACAAGTACACACTTCAGTTGTGCACATGGACACACGTGAATATATACATGTACAAACGTGAGTCGTGTACTTGTACACATGTGTGTTGTGTACATGTACACACCTGAGTCGTGCACAAGTACAAACGTGAATGGTGTATATGTACAAATGTGAGTTTTGTAAAAAGTGAGTTGTGTACATGTACAGACGTGAAATCTGTACATGAGCATACGTACACACATTTAGGCCTAATTAACTTGAGTTGTATACAAACATAAATTGTGTACAAACGTGATATGTGTACATGCATATACACGTGAGTCTTATTAAAACTTGAGTTGAATTTACTCTGTGGTTACATCCCATGATGAAATCCTGATATACAAAGAGTTGTCTTTTCTTGTCACAAGAGTTGTCTTTTCTTGTCACAAGAGTTGTCTTTTCTTGTCACAAGAGTTGTCTTTTCTTGTCACAAGAGTTGTCTTTTCTTGTCACAAGAGTTGTCTTTTCTTGTCACAATAGTTGTCTTTTCTAGTCACAAGAGTTGTCTTTTCTTGTCACAATAGTTGTCTTTTCTTGTCACAAGAGTTGTCTTTTCTTGTCACAAGAGTTGTCTTTTCTTGTTACAAGAGTTGTCTTTTCTTGTCATAACAGTTGTCTTATCTTGTCAGGAGAGTTGTCTTATCTTGTCAGAAGAGTTGTCTTTTCTTGTCACAAGAGTTGTCTTATCTTGTCACAAGAGTTGTCTTTTCTTGTCATAACAGTTGTCTTTTCTTGTCACAATAGTTGTCTTTTCTTGTCACAATAGTTGTCTTTTCTTGTCACAATAGTTGTCTTTTCTTGTCACAAGAGTTGTCTTTTCTTGTTACAAGAGTTGTCTTTTCTTGTCATAACAGTTGTCTTATCTTGTCAGGAGAGTTGTCTTATCTTGTCAGAAGAGTTGTCTTTTCTTGTCACAAGAGTTGTCTTATCTTGTCACAAGAGTTGTCTTTTCTTGTCATAACAGTTGTCTTTTCTTGTCACAATAGTTGTCTTTTCTTGTCACAAGAGTTGTCTTTTCTTATCACAAGAGTTGTCTTTTCTTGTCACAAGAGTTGTCTTTTCTTGTCACAATAGTTGTCTTTTCTTGTCACAATAGTTGTCTTTTCTTGTCACAATAGTTGTCTTTTCTTGTCACAAGAGTTGTCTTTTCTTGTTACAAGAGTTGTCTTTTCTTGTCATAACAGTTGTCTTATCTTGTCAGGAGAGTTGTCTTATCTTGTCAGAAGAGTTGTCTTTTCTTGTCACAAGAGTTGTCTTATCTTGTCACAAGAGTTGTCTTTTCTTGTCATAACAGTTGTCTTTTCTTGTCACAATAGTTGTCTTTTCTTGTCACAAGAGTTGTCTTTTCTTATCACAAGAGTTGTCTTTTCTTGTCACAAGAGTTGTCTTTTCTTGTCAGAACAGTTGTATTTTCTTGTCACAATAGTTGTCTTTTCTTGTCACAAGAGTTGTCTTTTCTTGTTACAAGAGTTGTCTTTTCTTGTTACAAGAGTTGTCTTTTCTAGTCACAAGAGTTGTCTTTTCTTGTCACAATAGTTGTCTTTTCTTGTCACAATAGTTGTCTTTTCTTGTCACAAGAGTTGTCTTTTCTTGTTACAAGAGTTGTCTTTTCTTGTCATAACAGTTGTCTTATCTTGTCAGGAGAGTTGTCTTATCTAGTCAGAAGAGTTGTCTTTTCTTGTCACAAGAGTTGTCTTATCTTGTCACAAGAGTTGTCTTTTCTTGTCATAACAGTTGTCTTTTCTTGTCACAATAGTTGTCTTTTCTTGTCACAAGAGTTGTCTTTTCTTATCACAAGAGTTGTCTTTTCTTGTCACAATAGTTGTCTTTTCTTGTCACAATAGTTGTCTTTTCTTGTCACAAGAGTTGTCTTTTCTTGTTACAAGAGTTGTCTTTTCTTGTTACAAGAGTTGTCTTTTCTAGTCACAAGAGTTGTCTTTTCTTGTCACAATAGTTGTCTTTTCTTGTAACAATATTTGTCTTTTCTAGTCACAAGAGTTGTCTTTTCTTGTCACAAGAGTTGTCTTATCTTGTCAGAAGAGTTGTCTTTTCTTGTTACAAGAGTTGTCTTTTCTTGTTACAAGAGTTCTCTTTTCTTGTTACAAGAGTTGTCTTATCTTGTTACAAGAGTTGTCTTATCTTGTCAGAAGAGTTGTCTTTTCTTGTCACAAGAGTTGTCTTATCTTGTTACAAGAGTTGTCTTATCTTATCACAAGAGTTGTCTCATCTTGTCACAAGAGTTGTCTCATCTTGTCACAAGAGTTGTCTTTTCTTGTCACAAGAGTTGTCTTATCTTATCACAAGAGTTGTCTCATCTTGTCACAAGAGTTGTCTTTTCTTGTCACAAGAGTTGTCTTATCTTGTCACAAGAGTTGTCTCATCTTGTCACAAGAGTTGTCTTATCTTGTCAGAAGAGTTGTCTTTTCTTGTTACAAGAGTTGTCTTTTCTTGTTACAAGAGTTCTCTTTTCTTGTTACAAGAGTTGTCTTATCTTGTTACAAGAGTTGTCTTATCTTGTCAGAAGAGTTGTCTTTTCTTGTCACAAGAGTTGTCTTATCTTGTTACAAGAGTTGTCTTATCTTATCACAAGAGTTGTCTCATCTTGTCACAAGAGTTGTCTCATCTTGTCACAAGAGTTGTCTTTTCTTGTCACAAGAGTTGTCTTATCTTATCACAAGAGTTGTCTCATCTTGTCACAAGAGTTGTCTTTTCTTGTCACAAGAGTTGTCTTATCTTGTCACAAGAGTTGTCTCATCTTGTCACAAGAGTTGTCTGATCTTGTCACTCTAGCACAGGAGGTGTGTGACCAGTGGTACTCGGAGGTCAGGAATTTTGTCTTCGGGGTGGAGCCCACAAGCCCTATTGTTACCGCAGGTAGGTCAACAATCAAAGCCCACAAACCCTATTGTTACCGCGGGTAGGTCCACAATCAAAGCCCACAAACCTATTGTTACGGCAGGTAGGTCCACAATCAAAGCCCACAAGCCCTAGTGTTACCGCAGGTGAGTCCACAGTCAAAGCCCACAAACCCTATTGTTACCGCAGGTAGGTCCACAGTCAAAGCCCACAAGCCTTATTGTTACCGCAGGTAGGTCCACAGTCAAAGCCCACAAACCCCATTGTTACTGCAGGTAGGTCCACAGTCAAAGCCCACAAACCCTATTGTTACCGCAGGTAGGTCCACAGTAAAAGCCCACAAACCCTATTGTTACCGCAGGTAGGTCCACAGTCAAAGCCCACAAACCCCATTGTTACCGCAGGTAGGCCACAGTCAAAGCCCACAAACCCTATTGTTACAGCAGGTAGGCCCACAGTCAAAGCCCACAAGCCCTATTGTTACCGCAGGTAGGTCCACAGTCAAAGCCCACAAGCCCTATTGTTACCGCAGGTAGGCTCACAGTCAAAGCCCACAAGCCCAATTGTTACAAAGTGTAAGTCCACAGTCAAAGCCCACAAGCCCAATTGTTACAAAGTGTAAGTCCACAGTCAAAGCCCACAAGCCCTATTGTAACCGCAGGTAGGTCTACAGTCAAAGCCCACAAGCCCTATTGTTACAAAGTGTAAGTCCACAGTCAAAGCCCACAAGCCCTATTGTTACCGCATTTAGGCCCACAGTCAAAGCCCACAAACCCTATTGTTACCGCAGGTAGGTCCACAGTCAATGCCCACAAGCCCTAGTATTACAGCAGGTAGGTCCACAGTCAAAGCCCACAAACCCTATTGTTACCGCAGGTAGGTCCACAGTCAAAGCCCACAAGCCCTATTCTTACCGCAGGTAGGTCCACAGTCAAAGCCCACAAGCCCTATTCTTACCGCAGGTAGGTCCACAGTCAAAGCCCACAAGCCCTATTGTTACGGCAGGTAGGTCCACAGTCAAAGCCCACACGCCCTATTGATACTGCAGGTAGATCCACAGTCAAAGCCCACAAGCCCTATTGTTACCGCAGGTAGGTCAACAGGTAAAGCCCACAAGCCCTAGTATTAGAGCAGGCAGGTCCACTGTCAAAGCCCACAAGCCCTAATGTTACGTCAGGTAGGTCCACAGTCAAAGCCCACAAACCCTATTGTTACCGCAGGTAGGTCCACAGTCAAGGCCCACAAACCCTATTGTTACGGCAGGTAGGTCCACAGTCAAAGCCCACAAGCCCTATTGTTACCGCAGGTAGGTCCACAGTCAAAGCCCACAAGCCCAATTGTTACAGCTGGTAGGTCCACAGTCAAAGCCTACAAGCCGTATTGTTACCGTAGGTAGGTCCACAGTCAAAGCCCACAAACCCTATTGTTACGGCAGGTAGGTCCACAGTCAAAGCCCACAAGCCCTATTGATACCGCACGTAAGTCCACAGTCAAAGCCCACAAGCCGTATTGTTACCGAAAGTAGGTCCACAGTCAAAGTCCACAAGCCCTATTGTTACGGCAGGTTAGTCCAGAGTCAAAGCCCACAAGCCCTATTGTTACAAAGGGTAAGTCCACAGTCAAAGCCCACAAGCCCTATTGTTACGGCAGGTAGGTCCACAGTCAAAGCCCACAAGCCCTATTGTTACCGCAGGTAGGTCCACAGTCAAAGCCCACAAGCCCTATTGTTACCGCAGGTAGGTCCACAGTCAAAGCCCACAAGCCTTATTGTTACGGCAGGTAGGTCAACAGGTAAAGCCCACAAGCCCTATTGTTACCGCAGGTAGGTTCACAGGTAAAGCCCACAAGCCCTATTGTTATCGAAGGCAGGTTCACAGTTAAAGCCCACAAGCTTAATCTCAATATGTTAAATGATAGTCGTTACTTGCACCACTACGAGCGGGTATCCAATACAGTCAGGGTGGACTAGAGTAGGTACGTCCTCCGGATTTTAGCCCTGGATCCGAAATCGAAACTTTCGGGTTGGCAGTCATGTGCTCTTCTATCTGACCAGCCATCAAATAGGTTATAAATAGACCACGGTTAAACTTCCCTATAGTGACAGCGAATATAATTCAGTAACTTAATTCAAGCGATTGATAATTAGCTCAATTTTAAAACAAAATAGACATATCAAATTTAATATTTTTTATAGTGTATATAGTGCGAGGCTGATTAACTCTCAGCGAACTGTGCCAACTCGACCACGTGTGTTCGAGTTCTAACTTCTCGTTATATAAAACACACGTGTTGTGATTTAATTCAAACTAGACGACCCAGTATCCAGTTGGAAAACGGTCTGTCGGCTGCAAAATACAAACCAATATTCGACAACATGCCAATACGCCCACCCCACCCTTTACAAAGCCTTTTAACCCCAAATGAATCTCTATTCTTTACAACAGTATGTATTTCAAAATTCTACACATATTTGAGATATTCTAATCTCTAGACCCTAACAAATAAATATAAAAATATTCAAACTTGTAAACATTTGGACAGTTTAAATACATAGACTTTTACGACATACTGGTTTTAAAGATAAGACGATTAATCAATAAGAAATGTTATAATTGTACGGAAAGTAACGAAGTGTTGTGTATATATTTTCAGGACACTTCACGCAGATGGTGTGGCGTAACTCCACAGAGATAGGGGTAGGCAGGTCCCAGGCTAGAGATGGCCGCTCCATCGTCGTGGTCAGCTACTTCCCGCCCGGAAATGTTGTAGGGGAGTTCACAACAAACGTCCTGCCACACCAGGGGTCCGAGAGCCACACTTAGCACACTTCTGATGATCTTTCAATGGCCATAGCACCAAGCTTAGCACACTTCTGATGATCTTAATGACCCAAGCACCAAATTTAGCACGCCCTTGATGATCTTTTAACGGCCCAAGCACCAAGCTCAGTGCACTTCTGATGATCTTTCAATATCCTTAGCACCAAACTTAGCACACCCATGATTATCTTTCAATGGCCTTAGCACCAAACTTAGCACATCCCAGATGATCTTTCAATGGCCTTAGCACAAACTTAGCACATCCCTGATGATCTTTCAATGGCCTTAGCACCAAACTTAGCACATCCCTGATGAACTTTCAATAGCCTTAGCACCAAACTTAGCACACCGATGATGATCTTATTACGGCCTTAGCAACACACTTAGCAGCCTGATAATCTCCTTTAGATGGTCCAAAAGCCAAACATAGCAGCCTATTAATGACCCATTTCCTTCAGATGATCTTTCAATAGCCCTAGCACCAAACATCGCACACTTCTGATTATCTTTCAATAGCCCTAGCACCAAAGATCGCACACTTCTGATGATCTTTCAATGGACAGCACCGAACTTAGCACATCCCTGATGATCTTTCAATGGCCAAAGCACCAAATTTAGGACACTTCTAATGATCTTTCAATGGCCATAGCACCAAACTTAGCAGCCTGACAATGTCCTTTGGAAGGACCAAACGCCGACCACAGCAGCCCACTAATGTCATGTATCCTGTATTCCTCCAATCTTCTTAGAGAACAAACATTGCTTTTAAATAAACACCTACCGATGACGTCACGAACTTCAAAAAATTTGAAAACAACAAACCCGCCCCTCATTACACTGGGTGCACTGTTGGAAAAATGATCTTGCCCCCAACAATACAATCAACAATACGACAAATCCTGTGTTTGTTTTTATTTTTATTTTTTTCGCAAAGCTCTAGGGTAAACAAATGCTCGTGTTTGAATTAAAATCTGAACGCTATGAAAATGTAGAACCGGTTACCAGAAAAATGCGCAAACGGAAAATTGCGCAACGGACAACTGCGTAAACAGAAAAATTCCAAAACACAAACTAATTATACGATTACACTTTATTTTAGTCCTATTTCGTTGGAAAATGTTTTACAAAGTTGCAATGTAGGCCTACATGTGATCTTTCTTTGTTAATGTCTATAAATGTTCGATTTAAGAAAACAAAAATGCCATTTCGCACTTTTTGTAAACAGTTTTCCGCTGCGCATCTTTCCGGTTACCTGTAGAGCCATATTTCTTTCTAATAGTGTGCACTTACAGTTTTAAGATTAATGTGATTTATCGCATTGTTGTTTTCGGTTGGTATTTCATTTTTTGATTAATATAACTTCGATTGCGGTATGATCTAGCTACAGGATTTTAGAGATTCAATTGGTACACTAGCATTAAGTACACAGTAATAATTTAACATCTAAACCACAGTATTACCCATCAAAATATGGCCTTTTTATTTCGTAATATTTATCTTAAAGTTTGACAACGGGTGGGGTTGAATCCCGTTCAAGTATTTTGACATGCTTAATCTGGCTACCTATCTTATTCGTTAGTCTCTAATCACCCTGGAATACGTTTGGATTTTTTGTTTTTGTTTTTGTAATTTGACTTGTAGATGCGACGAAAATCTGGCAACTTTAACGACGGAAACGGATCGCAAAGTGCAGGGCTGATGTGGGTAGAGTCAGTAGAGTGTCAGAATAAGGGTAGAGTCGCAGACAGAAGGAGATAAGAGGCAGATAGACTAGACAGACAGACAAAAACAGGATAATGGTGCGTGAGGTATGGAGGTGCGGGGGGGGGGGGGGAATAGATTAAACAGACAAAACACACGATAAACCCTGCAGATTAAAACGCCGGATTAAATACCTAACAGGCAAGTTTGGCTAATTCAAAGCTCTACATTCTTAGCTGAAGCGAGTGGGAGGAGAAATAAACATGTGATTTATTACATGGCGTATTAAGTGAATAACTTGTTTTAACTGAATTTGTTGCACTTAGGAAAAAAAAACATATTTTTGATCATCTTTTTATGTCTAACTGGGATCTAGACCGTCCGTCTTAACAATTTAAGTTTTTATTAGCGGGTGATTTAGTATGGCCAGAAGGGACCGTTAATTGTTTCTGTGTGAGAATAACGCAATTATATACCATTGCCATATTGTACAAAAAGCAATACTACCATTCCCCGTAAAGTACACAAAGTACTACTCCCCTTCTCCATAAAGTACTACTTCCCTTCCCATACAAAACTCAAAGTACTACTTCCCTTACCTGTAAAGGAAACAGTACCTCTACCCTTCCACCATACAAAAAGTACTACTCCATTTCCCATTCAGTACACACAGTACTTCTCCATTTCCCCAAAGTACTACTTCCCTTCCCCATAAAGTACACAAAGTACTACTACCATTCCCAAATAACATACATAAATTACAATCCCCAATCCCCATAAAATATACAAAGAACTACAACCCTTCCCATACATCACACACAGTACTTCTCCCCTTCCTCATACAATTTTTAAAGTGCCATTCCCCTTCCCCATAATGTACACAAAGTACTACTCCCCATCCCCATCTCCATAGAGTACAGAAAGTGCTACATTTTGATGAAAAAAATCTCGAACTTTACCACACGCTATGTGTATTCTACCTTTTCCCTGCTAGTATAAAGGTTAGGTTTAGGATTAGCCTTGGTTGAGTTATTCGAAAAATAATTACTTAACCACTTCAAATCTCACCTTTATTTATTTGCCATTTTTATTTTTATGCTAAATTTTTAACCTTTGCCATATTGAAATAATTTTGTGTACGTTCGTGCGTACGAACGAAACAAAAAGTCAAGCTTAAAGGGGCATAACCGGCAAATCACTTTTTAGACAATTTAATACCTGGCGTTTAGTGGGCATCTATATATATAATTCTCTTCTTCGAGCCGTTAGAAAACAAGCTGCAAACGCTCTCCCTACCTTCCCACCCCTACATGGTTTTAGTGAGCTGTGTTCACTCTAAATGTTTACAAGCAGAGCCAACTATTTTAAACGTAGGGGGGGGGGGGGTAGGGGGGGAGGGAAGGAAGGGGGGGGGGTGTTATGGTCCTTAACGAGCTACTTATAGTGTTTTAAAGAAATATTTTCAGTGGCAGCGTTGGTACTGTCGAATTCACAAATGGACACGAGCGAGAAAACTCTCAAAGGTATTTGAGAGGTGTATAAATTAGTTTAAAATTCAGGCACGGCGTAGTTACAATTAATATGGTTATAAAATCCTGTCTGTCTGGTTTATTTCGGACTTTACTAAAGATTGGGTCTATTTGATGTTTTAAAAATTTTCGGTAACTAATTGAAAATTTAAAAACAAGCCAAAACAATGTGGTTTTCACGTGTAATGGAGACATAAACAATGGCATCCTGCTATTGGATAGGCCGACATCAATTTTATTGTACACATTGTAAGCTAAAAATAGAAAACTATGTCATGGGGTTTTTAATTTGCATTGTTATTTAAAAACTTGATCTGCAAAGTTTTGTAAACAAATAGTTATCGATCACTAAGTTACTGTACAGCCAATCAATATTTGTCTTACGAAAGTGAAACATCCGGTTTTAACTTAGGCTTGATGAAAATAAATAGAAATGTAGCCTTAAACTCAACAAATTATTTTCAAGTTCTCTGGATTTGCAACTTTTATAGCATTTATTCTAAAAATATAAAATTTCTAAATTAATTTTAGGCTTAAGTTTTAATTTTTTATTTTTTTTACGGTCTAAATCTAAAAAGCACGTTTTTATTCCATGTCAACAATATTATGGAAGGAATCTCGTCAACTCGCTCGCCTCCATTATGAATTATTGAAAATTAGAAACAACTAAATAGCGGCGTATGTTATGCCGCGGGCCGGCTCGTGTCAAATATTTCCCCTAAGAACAGACGCCATAAACATGTTAAAAGTCACATAAAAAAGTGAAGTACCATAACCGCTGAGGCAACTCGATAGCGCAAGAGTTACCGTTCTTACATCAGGGGTAATGAACTCTGACAGTTTAGTGCCGCGGTGTTAAAGAAACCCATACCAGTTATCTCCCTTCATGCAGTGGAGGCAGTGTTAAAAAGACAGCGTTGATAATTAGATGTGGATCTTGTAGACGTTACACTGGGTAGAATGAAGGCAGCGATGATGGGGGGAAAAGATAACGAGCATCAATCGGGGTAGAGGCATCCCTGTCATGTGACTTTGTTTATAAGAAGAAGAAAAAAGTTGAATCTGGTTATTTTTTCGTATGTGAGGAAATTTTAAATAATTATATTTTGCTTTGGTGGGAGGTTTGATGTTTATGTGGGATGAGTAATGGATGCGATATGACTGGGTGTAGCTAAGGGATAGGGCGTTAGAGTGTGTGTGGGGGGGGGGGGGGGTTGTGGGGGATGTGGGGGCTTGGGGTTGTAAAGACCACGTTAATACAGGCTGATTAGCTGGTGCATAGATGGATAGGTACGTGTGTGTGTTCGGGAGTGCATGTGAGAGTGGGAGTGTGTGGGAGTGGGAAGTGCATGTATGAGTGTGTGCGGGAGTGCATACGGGAGTGTGTGCGGGAGTGTGCGGGAGTGCATACGGGAGTGTGTGCGGGAGTGTGCGGGAGTGCATATGTGAGTGTGTGCGTGAGTGCATGAGTTAGTGTCTGCGGGAGTGGAAAAGAAAAATGAATACGGGCGTGGGAATGTGTACGTGAGTGTAAGAGCAGTAGCGAGTGTGTGAGTGTAAGAGAGTGTGTGTGATGGAGTGTGTGAGTTTGTGTGTATGCGTGTTTATATATCTGTGTGTTTTAGTTTGTGTAGCTTTATGTAGATTATATGTACTTACCGTGTATATCCGGCCTAACATGGGAAGCTACCCAGAAATGTTGCCAGAGACCGTCAAAGGTGGAGTTGTCTGTTGAGGCGTAGCGAGGGGGGGGGCGGGGGGTGCGGACCGCACCGGGTGACACCC